CAAGAAATTTGATGAATGAAATGAAAATTTGATGATGAATCTATCGTAAGTCTACGATAATGTGGTAATAGTTGGTAAAGAAAGGCACGTTTCTAAAATTAGCAGCATTTGCTCACTAACGCATGCGTTTATATGACCGCAGTCATTAGTATTTAATGATGAAGCAACCCATTAATTTCGCAATTCAAATCAAACATACCGGTTCCAGCTCCTCCTTTTGTGCATCTGTAAGCCAATCATGCAACTCCACTTCTCTCTTGACCCTGAAATAGTTAAATATAACTGAGCGGTCTTTCTGACATCTGACATTGTCAAAAAATTATTAGTCCAATATGAATTACTAAGTCTTGGTAGAGCTTCTAAGAAGGACACTTTTGAAAAAAATTTCAATATTCGGGAGTTTTTAAGAGCGGAGAACGCGTCAATCAGTGCAGTTTGCAATTTAAATTAAGGTCAGAATGACAAGTTAAGTGCTCATGATTCAAGGAACTTTATTCTATACAAATCCTCAAAAACTTGAAGTTTCGCCGTTTGAGTAGATGACTTTACGAGATTACAAAAAAAAATTTTTTTGTGAGTTCTCCCCATAGATTAGGTGGCTATTTGGCGGATTTAGGGAAAAAAAGAACCTTTGTTGACTAGTTTTTTAAGTTGTAAATATGCAACAAAAATGTATTTTCAAAACATAAATTGAGTATCCAGAAAAATCAAAGAAACATGTTCTCCCTTCTTGCAATAGATAAATTTTTTTTCTGCGGGTTTTGCATACCTCTACTGATGTTTTTCTCTAACTTATTAACTTACAAACTCAAACTAATATAATATCCCCTTCTTGTATCAAGAATATGAAGCAGAAATCTGTTTGTTTTCAATACTTTAATGCTTACTAATTGATTGTAAACAATCAAAAAATAAAGAATTTTCATAAACCATTTTCTAAAAGTTTAAGAAAGTTTGGTTCTATACCTTGATTTCTTACACTCCCTCTTTGAGCTTCTATTTCAGTGACAAAGTGCAGATATTAATTTTTGTACTTTGTGCAAATTTCTAGTAGGAAACCTCCTATCACCTTTTTGCTAGACTATTCTAATCGATTCTGCATTCCACAATTTCCACTGGACCGATTTCGTGGAACATTCTCGAATAATGCTATTCTAACAGTAAACAGACAACAGATAACCATGTACTGATAAAGCTGATATGGCGACCGTGTTGTGATGATT